TGGCACTGCACGTTGAGGTTTCAGGCATAGATGTGTCTTTAAAATCACATGTTGGAGGTTGCGCTGTCATTGAGCTCGGGGAACCAGAAGGCGCTGCGCAGCGCGGGGGCGACCCCGCACCCAACGTGGTCGACGATGCGCCCGCGCAGCCAGCGAGGCCCCGCTGTCGCATCACATTGCGTTTGTAAAATTTGCGAGCGAAAATGGCCGCGCAAGCGCGATGTTTTGCAGCGCCGTGGTAGAGCAGTGGGGGTTGGGTGGGGCGGGGTAGCGCTGCGTGGTTCGGGTGGCGGTGGCGTTTTGGGCGCTGCGGCGCTGGTGGGAGTGGGCAAGTGGACAAGCGGCGCGCGCGACTGAGGGGCGGTTCTGGAGCGGGCGATGGACGTTGGCTAGCAGGGGGGGGGGGGGGGGGGGGGGTAGCGGTGATGGCGGCGGTGGAATGTCGGGTGGGGTGGGTGGTGTGTGCGTGCGTGTGGCGAGGTGGGGGGCGGCGTGGCGCGTGCGCACGTGCGTGCGAGCGCGCGTGGCGTTTTGGGGCGGGGTGGGGCGGGGCGGGGCGGGGGCGGGGAGGGGGGGGGGGGCGCGGCGGTGGCGCGGGAGGGGGGCCTGCCGAATCAAACTTCAAGTCGAGCGGCAGTTTGGCTGGCAGCACATATATTTCGACCAAGACGGCCAATCACTACAACGATGGCCGCGACGCAGCGCATTCAGTTTTGGCAGTGGCCCGCGGCGTAGTGACATGCCCTTGCTTGCAGGGTTGTGGTGTGCACTCATTGCTGCGCTACCCCAAAAGCCAACTGTCGCTGCAAGGCCGATGGCGAATCGCGCGGGCGTTGCGCCCCGCGCGTTTCTAACGCTGGTCGCGCACGCGCCGTTCGCAATCCAGTCGCCAGCGCGCAAGTCGCAACGCAACGGCGGATGGCGCCCCCATGCTGTAGCAATGGCCGCGGAGCCGCTGCAATGCCCCCTGCGCTTCGCGTGCCCAATGCCTTAAACACCGTCTGCAATCAAGTTCAGAATCGCCGAGCCGCCCGCATTGTCGCGCGCGTTCGTTGGCGCGGGCAGCGGCAAATCGTCACCAGCGGCGTGGCGCGCGCTTTCCGCGTCTCTCAGGTTGGCGGAGCCGACGGCGCCCCCCCGCGCACGCACGCGCGCGCACATCACCGCCGCCACCACCGCCATCGTGCACGCGCAGCCAGTTGGAGAGCCGCGCGCGGGGTCGGGGCCCGACAAAAGCTGGGTTCGGCGCTCATTCGTCCATTAACAGCGAAGCGGCCATTGCCCACGTCGGCCGACGCGCGCCGATGCCCCGCCGCGGTCGCCAACCTCGCGCAGCGCAATAGAGTTGGCGGGCGCTGCCTTCGCGCTGCCGCGCTGCCAACGGCTTCGCGGTCGCGCCGCGACCAGGGACTGCCCCGCGTCGGAGACAAATAAGGGTGGATGCCCCGCACATTGTGGCTGCATCAAGCACGCGTTTCGCGCGCTGTCGCGCCATGGCAGCCCGGCAAAAGGCGCGCGCCCCATCTCGGCACCGCATTGCGGCCATGATCTGCGTCCTGGCGCTTGCGGGCAACGGCGGTCATGTTCAACAGTGGTGTTTCCAGACTCCGCGAGCGTTCGTTTGTTGCTTTGCCTGATGGCACCAGCGGCGCACGTGCCGCCGCATTCCCCGAGGCCTTATTAGGTGCGGCGGGCATTGTGCATACCGTGGAGGAAGGCGTTTTAGCTGCTCTGGGGCCCTGCCCATTGCGCGTGCATAAAAGGCCGCGCCCCTGCGGGTTTCGTTGGCAGCGTTGGCCTCGCCAGACAAGTGGCAGCTGAGCTGCGCGAGTACCGCATCCCCCTGGGCTCTCGCCCGTCTCCGTCGGCCCGCCGTCGCGCGGTGGATCGGTCGCGCCCCTTTGGTTTTAGCCGTGGACGTGCAACATGTGGCTGGGATTTCGCCACAGGGCGAGGTCGGTCGGGGCGCGGCGCGGCGGGCGGGCGCGCAGGGCGGGCGACGGCGGCGGCGGCGCGCGCGCGCGCGGGGGGGGGGGGCATGTCGAGGCCATTGTCGCGGACCCACGCGTCGCCAGTGCCGGCGTGCTTGGGTTGAAACGCGGGCGAAGGTCGCATGCGCCCCTGCTAAACCACGCAGTTGCCATCCCACCCCATGCTGATTGCCAGGGTTGGATCAACCCGACGCAGCTAGGTGAAACCTTGCGTTCGCCACGGTCTCGAATGTACGTCACCTCCGCTCGCTCCGAGGACCCCGCGCAAGTAACATCTGCGCGGGCGCATTGCTTGCCATCGCCAGGTGGCGGCGATGCCGCCTACCCCGCCGTCTCCGCTGCCCCCAATGCTCACGTGGGCTCTCGGATCTCGGAGCCGTCGGTGGTAATGCGCCCCATGGCATCGGGCGCATTCGTTGGCCAGTGGGGTTGCGCGGGCGCCGTTCGCTGCGCGGGCAGCGGGCGATGGCGGCTTTGGCCCGGATGGCTTTGCGGCCGCGCAAAGCGGGTTCGAGTCTGCGCGCGCAGCTGCCCACCATGAATTGGAAACAAAACCGCAGGGCTAGCGGGTTCCACTGACCCCGCTTGTGCTCAGCGTTTTCACTGGTTACTGATCGGGCCCGCGGGCGCTGCGGATTCCGCCCGTGGATTGGAATGGCGCCCGCGGGCCGAGCGGCGCCATACGCCCCTGCGCCAATGCACGCCCGACGTCGGGCGTCTCGGCGCGCCAAGGGCGCCAGGAAACCGCGCGCGCCGAGACGCTGACGCCGCAATGCGCCGCGCGCGCGGCCGCGCGCCAAGGGGTGCATCGCGGGCGGCGCCGGCGGGCCATTGATCGGCGCAGCCGTCTCAATCCATCTCCCGTTGCCATTCCAGGGTGGTCGGTCCAGGAATAATGCCAGCACGCGCGCCCGTCCAAGTGCATCAGGACGGCTGCTGCAGCATCGGGCTGTTCGGAACCAATGCCGATGCCGTGCCTGCAGCGCGCGCAGCGGCGCCACCGCGCGTGCGTTGCTCGGCGCCATGTCATCGCTTACGTCGGCAGACCGCGACTGAATGCGGTTGCGCGGGTTCTCTCAATGCAGGCGCAATCTGGACGCAGAGGATCGACGGCGCAGGCTTTTTCGTGACAACGCCGACGCGCTTGAGACAGGTTCGTAGAAGAGGCATGCTTACCCAAGACAACTTGTTTGGCAAAGTTGCCGCCGCCAGACGGAAATCCGATGGCCTGGGAATTGCCCGCAATTGTCGTTGCGCGCGTGCCAGTAGCTGGGAGCGCGCTTCCAAGACTACATTACCAAGGCGGCCCAATGCATGTGCCGCCGCAGAACCATTTGAGTATAGGTTGCATCGCAGCAGTTGAAGGGCGTTTGCCCATGCACCCTGCGATGGCTGCCATAGTATTTAGAACAATTGGTTGTTCTTGGCGCCAGTGCATTTTGGCTTGCGTTGGTTATCGCAGTCGGCTGCGTATGATAGCACCGCATTCGGCAGTGTCGTATCGGCGCAAGAGACAGCCCTTGACGTTCGTCTCGAAGGCGGCGCGCATCGCGTTGATTATGCATGTTCAAAACGTTATTATACACGTCGGGTCGATTCAGGTTGCGGCTTCCGTTGTAGATGTGTGTGTGTCTTAGTAGTTGTGTAAACATGTGAGTATTTCGAAGTTCCCTAGGATGTGCAGTTCCTTGACCTATATGGCTATCCGTGTTGCATCGGTTTCCTGCGGACAGGGCAAGTCCTCAACAGTTTGTAAATCCATGTCTGTATAACCTTTTGGATGGTGGAAAAATTGCGTGCATGTGCATTACAGACAAGGTTGGCATAACACGGTAGGTGTACGCATGGTGACCGCATCGTTTGTGTAACAACACACGCGTCCAAACATTCTTTTGCGCTGGTAACTTTCGGGGGAGGTGTCTTCAATGTTTGACGGGTTTCTGAATTCGCGGGCCGCCCCTGGGGTTTCGCAACGGGAACCAATAATTTTTACGTCGGTGTTTTCATTTTCTTTCCAGAACGCAGCAATCTTCTTCGCGCTCCTCGGCGACCCTCAGGGTCGGCGGATGTTTGGAAATTGCAGCGAGTTTTGGGCAGCGTGAGGTTGGGTTTTTGCAGCGTTGCGATCCTGGGCCGCTGCAGAATACCCCTCGAACTCGAGCCGTTGAGGTGGCCACTGGATGACGACATCGCACAAGTTCAGCCCGCCAGCTCCTTGGGATGTTTCGGCGTTCGTTTGTGTCGTCTGGAACGACCCTCCCTTTTGATGTGAGTTCACATGGGTTTGCGTGCGATGTCGTTCTGGTTCAGGATCTGGCTGTTATCTGTATTTTTTTTGTGGCGGTCCCGCAAGGACGAGACCTTGCGCGACGACCGTATTTTTACTGCGCTGACTTAGCTCCGTGCAATGGCGGGGCGCAAGGAGGCGCTGCCGAGCCCGAGCCCTCCTGCCAGCGGGCGCGGTCGCGCCGTCAGCGCTGGTGGCGGGCGCGGGGCTTCCGGTGGCTGGAGGAGCCGCGGTGCCAGTGGCAGCGGCTTTGGGGGCCGCGGAGGCGGCAAGCGCGGGCGTTCTTCCAGCGTGCCTGCCTCTGGCCGCAAGGAGCCCAAGCGTTCGCTGATGGCGCGTTCTGGCTGCGAGGTGACGAAGATGGACCGAACGGGCCTTCATGTTCCGAAACGGTTCCCCACGGCCCACCTCTCCCCCCCCCCTCAAACAAAAATCACGAACGTTTTGTTGTATTACGCCTGCTTGGCAGCGAGGCAAGATTTGAAGTAAACGCGAGGGGGGGAGGAACAGGAACGAGTAGAGGGGGTTGGGGAGAATGGCGAATGAAGGTAGGTAGGAGGTGTGGGGGCAGAGCGAGGCGGGGATGCAGGAGGGGCACATAGATTCTCGAAGGGTCTTGCCTATGGCGGGGTAGAAGATGAGAAAGGGCACGCGGAACAGGAGGATGGCAAAAGGGTTGGAGACAGGGGGGGTGGATAGGAGGAGGATGGTGGCAGGAGGCGATGCGAGGAGTGACGAAGGGTAGTTGCTTCCCCTTGAGGACTCCTTGGTAGCCATCGTGGACGCCAGCACCTGCCCCGACGACCCGATGTACGATGGCGTTGTTCACCAGGGGCCTGTATGCATGAAGTGCCTCGACTGGATCGCGGCGCACTTCCCTGGGACTAGCGTCGACACCATTGTGCAGCAAAAGAAAGAGAAGGAGGAGGTGGCGGAGTTCATTGATGAGGAATGCGGCAAGACCAGGACTGCCCAGGCAGCGGCAATGCTTCCCACGGTCGATACGGTCGAGGGCGATGCCATCATTGGTGAGATGTACATCAAGGCCTCCGCGCTCAGCTTTTGGCAGTTCACCCAGGAGTACAAGAAGACTCCGAAGCAGCTCGTCGTCCACCCGTGGAAGGCCCCCTCGAAGAACGAAGTGGTCTACTTGTGTGAACGCATCGAGGCTTCCAGGGCGAAGTACCCAACTGTGAAGTTGTCAATGACGAGGTCTACCTCAGTGACATCGCGCAGGGGCGCGCTTGGCTTGGGGCAGCTGCAGCAGAACCTCATCATGAAGACGGCGGGCCTGGAGGAGTTCAAGAAGGACAGGGGCGCGGAGCCAGCGAGGTACCTATTGAAGGACTTCCCGTCGCTGTCAGTCGAGGTGCTTCGCGAGCGTGCCGAGAGGATCGAACAGAAGAAGGGGGCCACTAAACGTAAGGTGACAGCGGACTTGAAGAGCGGCTCAGTCGAGGGCATCACCGAGGTCGATGGCGAGAACACGTTGCCATTTCCTGGCGGCGCCGGTGAGGGCCCAGCTGAATCTGTCGAAGTGGGCGACGCGGGTGACATTTCGGATGATGACCAGCCTGAGGCCACTGGCACCGCTACCAAAAAAACAGGGGCAGCCAACGCCACTTCCATCGCCGACCGACGAGGCCGAGCCCCCGATCGATAGGCCGTGCACCATCGAGGCGCCGACCAAGGCCATCGTCGAGAAGAACCAGTTTTCCCCGAAGCAGGCCGAGCATTGGATCCACGAGCTCAACCTCCAGCTCGCTTTCGACGGCAGCAAGATGGGCGTGCCGCTCTCGCAGGCGGACCAGCACAAGGTAAATTTCAACACGACCGACAGGAACAACGTCACTTGCAAGATGGAGCAATGCAGAATGGCAATTGCAATGAACGCAACGAGCTGTCACAACCTGACCGGCGAAGACATGGCACATCATTGGGGTGAGTTGAAGTGGGCTGAAGCCCAGTTGACGCTCAAGGCGTGGGTCGCCCTTGCCTTTCGTCATTCCTCAAACTGTTGGGCGAAGGCCGACTCGGGGAGCGCCGACGAGGTGAAGGATAACTTCAGGGAGGTGCTTTCCTACATCAATTTGTGGACGAGCCGCCCAGAGGACGAGATGAGCGCGCTGAAGGTCGATCTTGCTAGGCTGCCTTTGCGCGATCGCGCTTTGGCCAGGGTTTTCTGCGACATGGCGTTCAAGGACGTGCTGCCCAGGTGGTTCCAGGGCGGGAAAGACAAGAAGGACTACGCGATCCAGTTTGCCGAAATCGCTCGCGAGACGTGGGGCACCATAGAGGGGAATGCGGCCTTGGGCAACGCGCGTGCGACGGTGCACACCCAGGCTTGCTGCGCGGCCGAGGCTTTGCAAATTATCGGCGGCGGTTCCTTCCTGAAGAACGACTTCGAGCCAGACGCGTGGGAAACGATTGCCGAGATCGACGACGCTTCAGCTCGCAACGAGCCTGACCTTGGGGCTTACCAGATCATCGGCCAGGCCTCGGCGACGAACGAGTGGTGGAGAAACCAGAAGAAGATGTGGATAAAGCGCACCCCGAAGAACAACCAGTACGGCAAGGATATGAAGAAGGTGTATGTCCAGCCCCAGTCCACGCAGGCCGAGTCCACGATCGAGTTCGCGAAGACGATGTCAGACATCTGCGAGAAGGCGATGGCGTGGGAGGCAGGGTTTCCAGATTACGGCGTCAACGAGTTGAAGGAATACATCTTGCCATTGGCGTCGCTTGCGGTGGAGGGCGTGCTTAAGAAGTTTGAGAGTGGAGCTGCTGGAGATGGCTCCAGGACCTAGGTGACGTCGAGTGCGAGGTGGTTGCCAAGTTTGACGGGCCTCTTTCCGCCCCCTCTCTCCCCCCGAACTTGTCGGATCATCTGCCCCACTCGGCCCTGAAGAGCCGTGAGCAGGATGGTTCGATGCCTCTCCCGGCCCTGACTTCCAGGACGTCTCTCCAGCCGTTGCTCTGAGGAGGGCCCCCGAAGACTTCCTGCGCGCAGCTCCTGGATGTCCCAGACACGCCAGTATGAGAAATCAAAGACACTCGGCAAGTTTGCAAAATCATCATGGTCTTCTGGCAGCGCTGCAGCCGCAGGTCGGGCAGACTGTTCTAAACGCTGCTCTGTCCGCGCAAGACCATTCAAAATCCGCAATTTAGCTTTCGGGCATGTTGCCCAGAGCCTCGAGACCGTGGCCCGCGTTGCATCCAGGAGCTCGACCTTCCAGCCCCGACTTGCGTCATCCTAGATGCACCCGTTGTGCGAGGTTCGAGTGGGGGCCCACTCCAATTTCTGCTTCGCACGCGCGCTCACTTGCACTTGCCCCCCGCGGCGGGCGACGGAGGCAGCTGCGGCGCCAGTTTGGCTCGCGGCCCCGCCGCGCAAGCGCGGGGCGGGCGCGGCAAAGGAACGCAATTCCAAGGCGGCCAGGCCTTAAGCGCCCCAAGCACATGTCAACAACGGCAGGTGGAGAGCATGAGGATCGTCGTCGCAGGGGGTGCCACTTCGACAAGAGAAGACGAGGTTCAACGACCCCCAGGTTCAGAGACTGCACTTCGTGGTGGCTCCAGCGCAGCAGGTGGTCAAAGCAGGTGGCAGCAGGATCACGAGCCTTCACCAGGCCCTGTGCGCAGCGTTCGCACGCCAGGGAGGGACGTCCCAACCAGGGTCAATCCCCAGCTAGCGAGGACCGGATGTTCTCACGAATCCTCTCAGCGCCAATTTCATCTGGAGAAAGCAGCCAGCAAGGAAGTGGTATTGGAGGAGGCAAAATTGAGTGATATTCTGGCATCCGAGAAAATGGTCGCGATTCCCAGCCAAGGACTTTGAATGATTATTTCCTCGCCCGCCTCCAGTCTCCTTCAGCAAAGCCTGTCCTGCAGTGTAGTTCAGGGTCGCTACTTTTTCCCAATCGACCTGTGTTGTTCGGTCCTCGTTTTGAAGAGACGATCCCCGCGTCCTCCCGCTGCCCCCCCCTCACTCTACCCATCATCAGCATCACCGTCACCATCATCATCGTCATCATCATCATCATCATCATCACCATCATCATCAGTTCGGCACACCCCTCACACGGTTCGTGGCCCCATAGGGAGTTCCACCGAAGGCCCCAGTGGGTGCGTCCTCATGCGTCACTGCCACCCATTTCGGCACACCCCCCACACGGTTCGTGGCCCCATAGGGAGCTCCGCCCAAGGCCCCAGTGGCTGCGTCCTCATGCGTCACCGCCACCCATGACGGGACACCTTTCACACGGTTCGTGGCCCCATAGGAAGCCCCACCGAAGGCCCCAGTGGCTGCGCCTCCATGCGTCACCGCCACCCATGACGGCACACCCGTCACACAGTTGTGGCCCCATAGGGAGCTCCACCGAAGGCCCCAATGTTTGCGTCTTCATGCGTCACCGCCACCCATGACGGCACACCCCTCACACGGTTTGTGGCCCCATAGGGAGTTCCACCGATCGCCCCAGTGGTTGCGTCTTCATGCGTCACCCCCATAAGGAGTTCCATCGAAGGCCCCAGTGGCTGCGTCCGCATGCGTCACCGCCACCCATTACGGCACACCCCTCACACGGCTTGTGGCCCATAGGGAACTCCACCCAAGGCCCCAGTGGTTGCGTCCGCATGCGTCACCGCCAGCCATTACGGCACACCCCTCACACGGCTCGCGGCCCCATAGGGAGCTCCACCGAAGGCCCCAGTGGCCCCAGCGGCTGCGTCCGGATGAGTCGCCGCCACCCAGGACAGCGTTTCGTTGCCCTTTAGGGAGGTCCATCGGAGGCTCCAGTGGCAGGGTCTGCATGCGTCACCGCCACCCAGGACAGCGCTTAATGGCCCCATAGGGAGGTCCACCGAAGGCTCCAGTGGCAGGGTCCGCATGCGTCACCGCCACCCAGGACAGCGCTTCGTGGCCCCATAGGGAGCTCCACCGAAGGCTCCAGTGGCAGTGTCCGCATGCGTCACCGCCACCCAGGACAGCGCTTCGTGGCCCCATAGGGAGCTCCACCGAAGGCTCCAGTGGCAGGGTCCGCATGCGTCCGCGCCACCGATTTCGGCGCACCCCTCGCACGCTTCGGTTCCCTATAGGGAGCTCCATCGAAAGCGGTGCCCACAATGCGGCATTCGGAGTTATATATGGTTGGGTCCTTCGTCAGGCTAATTTTATCTTTCATGTTTTTGGAACCCCCCGATGAGCCCGTCCTGGATGTCCAGAACACGCTTGCTAGATAGATAGTGGCCTCTCCCTCTCTATGCCTCTCTCTCTCTCTCGCTCTCTTTCTATCTCTCTCTCTCTCTCTCTCTCTCTTTCTTCGGTTGCGTTCCTGCCCCCGTTCACTCACTTCGTTTCCTTTCTTCCTCCCGCCATCTTGGAGCAAACATTCGAAGAGGAAGTACTGTCAGGATTGCGACCTCATGGTTCGCCCTTAGCGCTCGCGAGGGGATAAGATGCCCCTACACGGACAGGCATGGGTTCATCTCCCCAATGTGTAGTCCTTCTTTGGGCCAACGGAATCCCAGCGGAGCTGTTGTTTGGCGCAATTACAGCGTTTCACAGAGCCAAGTATTATTTTCTGATATGCAGAGGTCATCCAGCAAGATGTCAAACTATTGGCCCGTATGTGACCTTGTCTTGCATTGTCCCCAAATTGCGTCTCCTG